ATCTTTGAAAGTCTGACATTGGTACAATATGGATGAACTTTTTGAGGGCAATATGTTAAGTGGAAAGGCCAGTCATAAAAGGGCAAATAATTTGCTTATATGAGATAAGTAGAATAAACAATGCATAAGACAGGAAAACTAGAAAGCTACCAGGGGGACACTTAATGATAGTTTCAAGCTTGTGAAAGGTGAAAACGTTCTGGAAAGAACCTGTAGTGATTGAACAAAACAGTGGTGAAGTGCTTAAAGCCACAGAATCGGTATACTTGAAAATGATTACTATTTTAATCAATAATGTACTTTACCACAAATATTAAATTTTTACATATGTACCTTACCACAATTTCAAAACTATACTATATTGCTACAATTCATGAAATTTTTAGAAACAGTACTGTACACAAATTATATAAGAAAAGGAATCTTCTTTAACATATGAAAATTAGGGCTGGGTATGGCTCAAATGGTAGAGTGATCTGCCTGCAAGCAGTAAACCTGAGTTCAAATCCCAATACTGGAAAGAAAAAAGGGAAAAGAGAGAAAGAGAGAATTTCTTATTCTTATGAAAATTAAGTGTGACTGCTCTATAACATAGAAAGTTTTACATGTAAGAAATAAAATTGGTTTGATAACATGTCATAATTTATTTATACACTATTGACTTGTTGGTTCTTCTTAAGTCTGAAATCCTTATTTTTAAATACTCTCTTTTAAATTCCTAGTTCAATTAATTATAGTAAGCTTACTCATTTATTTTATTTCATCAATGGAACTAATAATATTATACAATAATCTATCTAGAGAAACTTTCTATCTTAGAAAAACCATTTCTAATTTTTTTTGCAATGCAGGGGATCAAACCCAGAACTGCGTATATACTAGGCAAACACTTACCACTGAGCTATATCCCCAGCCCTCTAATTTTTAAGTAATGTCAAAATCAGCCTTTTATAAAGCTTTCAACTTTCCGTAACAATCTGTAATAAAAGATACAGTTGTAATAAGTTTAATATCATTTCAAATCAATGCTAGCTTATAACTAGTACTAAAATTAAGAGTTCAAAAGTTTACTGGTTGAAAGAATAATAAATATGACGAGAATATACTTTGAATTAAGAGCCATATAAATGCAAACAATAAATGAAAGCTAAATCTAATTTATCCAGTAGTCTAACAACTGAAAATCCTATTGGAATTAACAGTGCAGTGTGACACGAACTATTCAAGTCAGCAGACTCACAGTCTCCAAGTAAGTGGTCCTCATTTTAGATACTAGCTAGAAGTATGGGCCACTCCCCCAACCAGGTCACCCAAACTTCTAACCCGATACAATGTGAGAATTCCACAACCTCCCAAAATTCGATAATTCATAGAATGCATGAAAGCAGCACACTTAAAATTACAGGTTTATTAGAAGGGCTACAAATCAGGACAAGGGAATAAAGAGACCCATAAGGCATTCCATTGTCATATGGAATTAGGACTCATCACCCTCCCAGAAACAACAGATGTGTTCACCAACCAGGAAATCCTGGTTCTTTTTAAGTATCCAGTTTTCAATTGGAGTTTCATTACACAGGCATGAGTGACTGAGCCAATAGCCACATGACTGAACTCAAGCTCTTGTCCCATTCTTTCCTCAGAGGTCTGATGGTATCACCTACTCGAGGCCCCAATTCTCTAACCCATGGTTTCTCTTTCAATAAAGTAACCCCTATCCTGAAACAATCTAGGAACATCCACGAGTCGTCATCTCATTAGCATTAAGTCAGGCCTGATCCCAGTGGCCAATCATAACAAAAACGCTCCTTTCACTTGAAAATTTCCAAGTTTCAGAAATTCTTGACAGAAACCCAGGAAAAAAGACCAGACAAATTCTTTATTATATAATACTACCAAACTACCATTTTTATGTAACATGAAAATAATGATTGTGCTATAAGACATTTTAACTCCATTTTCTTTTTGGATAAGTATTTATCAATTATTACTTATTTATTTTATATGTATATGTAGACTTTTTTTACGGGTGTTCTCAAATATCTAACCACTAGTATCTCAGATTGTTGGTTTTGTTTGAAGATAGAGTCAATGTCACTACAGATGTGATTAGCTAAGATGAGTACGCTGTAGTAGGATGAGTTCCCAATACTAGTATGACTGGTTCCTTTAAAGAAAATGGCCACATGAAGACAAAGCACAGAGGGACCATGTGATGATGAAGGCATAGAGTGAATCGATGTAGCTGGCAGGCTGTAATTATAATTTCAGCCATCTTAAAAGGAGTTGAAGTACTGAATACATCTATGATTAGGATAAGCCTTGAAAACCTTACACTACAGCCAGATGCCCCACTACTGACAAATGGATGAAGAAAATGTGGTATTTATACACATGGAATTTATGCAGCCATGAAGAAGAAGGAAATGTTATCATTCCGCTTGGTAAATGGATGGAATTGGAACGCAACATCATTCTGAGAGAGGTTAGGCCTGGTCAAAAGACCAAAAATCGTATGTTCTCCCTCATATTGGGACAATTAGATCAAGGGGCAAAACACATACAGAGGGATTGACTTTGAGCACATTTGATAAAAAGTTGAGAGCACACTAAGGGAGGGGTGGAGGATAGGTAAGTCACCCTAAAAAACTAGCTAGCATTTGTTGCCCTTAATGCAAGAAAACTTAAAGCAGATACCTTAAAAGCACTGAGGCCAATAGGAAAAGGAGACCAGAAACTAGAAAAGGTTAGATCAAGAAGAATTAACCTAGAAGGAACACACATGCACAGGAAATCAATGCAGTCAACTCCCCGATAGCTATCCTTATCTCAACTAGCAAAAACCCTTGTTCCTTCCTATTATTGCTATACTCTCTCTTCAACACAATTAGAGATAAGGGCAAAATGTCATGTCTGGTGGTAACGAGGGTAAGGAGGGGTTTAAGGGGGGGGTAAGGGAGAGGTGGGGTAAGAGAGGGCAGAGGTAAGGGGAAGAAATGACCCAAACATTGCATGCACATATGAATAAAATAAAAATTAAAAAAAAAAAGAAAACCTTACACTAAGTAAAAGAGCCAAATGCAAAAATTCTTTTATATGAAATATAAATACACAAATTTGAAGAGACAGAGAAGGCTGATAAGCAGCTGACAAGGCGGGTAGGAGGAAATGGGGAAAATAATTGCCTATAGATAAATATGTCTGGGGTGATAAAAAAAAGTTTTGAGATAGGATGAATGTTCAAAATTATGAATGTACTAAATACTAATGCTATATATTCTAAAATGGCTAAAAACTACATAATATTTTCCCCACCTGCTATGAATAGCTACTACAAAATAGAAACACTATTAGGCCATTAAAATATTATTTGATTTTTAAATGTAACTCACACTTTTTTAAGGTAAATATATTGCATAAACAAAACAGCCTGCATAGACAAAACCTATGTCACATAAGATTGTTAATTCTTCTGATTAAAAAGGATGACCAGTTATCCAAAAACAGTCTTATGACATAAATGAGCTTTTAGCAATACAAGCAATGGTGTCCAATTTTGGCAATTTTATAAATTAAGCAATTATTATAATGCCAAATCATGTTCTGTTCTTTTTTGCAACAAAAAATCTGAGTCTTTCCCACAACTTCTGGGTGTTACCTTTGTTTCTGTCTTTTGCGTCTGTGTACAGAATATCCTGGTGCTTGTCCCTGTTTGTCGCCAAATAAGCCCCAAGATTTGCGACTGTCTGGGTTTTCCACGTTGTCTACCGTGTGGCCACTGAGACATTTCTGAGCAAAAGATCTTCTTGGCCTGCTTCAGCATCTTCCCTTGTTGTTGTGCAGTGAAACTTTAAATCATTTGAACTGAAGAACAATACCAGTTTGCAAAGCGGGGAAAAAGGAATTCTACACTTTGGTTGAAGTAAATGCTATAGAATTATGAACAAAACAGTATGATTTAAAAGTTGTGCATGGTTTTAATGTCCGAGTACTCAAGAATACAGAGGCACTAAGCATTCCAATTTATAAAAGACCTTAATCAATCTCATTTCCTGGCTTTATTATAAATGTCTATTATAAGCTTACTTTTATGTTAAACCTCCTTATTTGTATAACCTGGCTCTACTTCAGCTTTTAAACAATTATGTCTAATTTAACAAGTCAATCACTTCGTTTCTCTTTCAACTTCCAAAAGGACACATGCAAAAAATGCATATGAACGGAACATAAAATTAGAATAAATTCTATGGAAATCAGTATGGAGGGCTCCTTTTAAAAACACTAAAAATTAGAAACACCATATGATCACTGCTACACCACTCCTGGGCAGCGTATCTGAAGGAACAGTAAGTCAGCACCAACAATAGAGACACCTGCACACTCATGTTTGTACAAACACTATTCACAATAGCCAAATTATGTCATTAGCTTAGACAGACATCAACTGATGAATGGGCAAAGAAAATGTGGTATATATACACAATGGAGTATTATTCAGTCATAAAATGAAAATGCATTTCATTTTACATTCCAACTAGCAGTCTTATTATAAGTGTTTGCACTGGGTAGAAAATGTATGAGTCAATTTAAGTAGAAGGGGAGGGATAAGGGAGAATGATGGAGGGGATGTATCTAACCAAAGTACATTACGAGCATATATGGAAATGTGATGATGAAATGTCCCTGTACCACTAACACATATGCTAGTAAAAATGTTTAAAAAAAGAAAATTTATGAGTCAGTTTATCTAATGGTATTCAATGTATCTAATGTATTTATCCAAAAATTTCTCAGAATTTTTTTGCCCAATTTGCTACTTACTGACTGATAAATTAATAATTTGACTAAAGAAAGGGATTTCATCTGTTATTCTGGGAAAAGATCACGTATTGATTTCAATGTCGTTCACATGTAGTTATTAGTTATTCATTCCTGTTTTCAATACAGTGAACATATTTCTTCATGACTACTTTTATCTCACTTATTAATGCATACTTTATAACAGTTTAATCGTGTAACACCTCACCTAAAGAGTACAAAAAGTTATAGAATATTTACATACATGTAAATATGTCAAAATTCAGTTAGAAGTGAGATTTTATAAGGAAAAATAAAATACTTTCATATTATTTCATGCCACTTACAGAAATAATGATGTGAGGATATAGATATAATTTTGCATTCCTTTACTTAAGAATAAGGATAGACCAAATTTGAAAAGTACTTAAATGTCATAGTTATTATGAGTATTTATATGCCTGTAATGATGGATGGAAATATAAAATTGAAAATTATATAGCAAAGAATAAGGCCACAGCAAATTAGATACACAATGATCTTTCATTTACTTTACACGCTTAGCTCTCATCAGTGTACCATATGAGATCAAGCATACCCAGAAGCAATCAGACATAACATCACTTAGTTTAGTCAGCATCAGTATGTATTTAATGCTAATGTACTGGGAAATATGTGGTTTTCAGTAAGGAAGAGATTAGTGTACAGTGACAAGTATACACAAAATTGTGAACAAAGTTACTTCGATGAAGGCTGCCAAAAGTTCTATTAGATAACTAAATAAACATCTCCACCATCTAAAAAGACATAAAAAGTAAAATAATTTCAACCCACCAAAAATTAAACTTTGATATGGCAATGAATGAGCTACCTGGGTTTTGTTTTCTTGCTCTTTGTGTTCTATAAAAGAATGAATACAGGAGAGTTAGTAATTGGGATTGGAACACAACAAATTAATATCTCAGAAATCACAAAAATACCTAATTCTTTAATAATACCATTCTAAGTGAAGATTTATCCACAGAATCCTACTGAGAAACAGAAAATGTTTATACTAATCTTCCAATGTTGAAAAACTCAATAGTAACTAAAATTGGTTAATAATAACTCAGATAAAGGGTAGTGCTTTACACACAATAACCATTTCTTTCAATGCATGTGGAAGCACATAATAATATCGATAACCCACATAAAAGAAGATTGTAGTTTTTTAGGTAACAGCGCCAAAACCAAGTAATATAGTAATCAGTGTTTCAATTCTGGTAGAAAGCAGAATAAGAAAACTTGCTTTAGCCACAAGAACCTTACTTTAACATTCCAAACACCATTCAAAATACTGCATTCAATTTTTACATGTATCAGTTCTATTAATTATCTGAATAGGTTCAAAATTCAAGGAGACTTTGAACAGAAGGCATAAAGGGGAAAATATCAGTCACAAAAGGAAATTTATGTCCTTTAAGCAAAATACATTCAGTATAACCATAAAGTTTACATCATTATAAAACCAAAATATCATCTAAGTACTAACTAGAGAACATTTCTGATTTTTAATATAAGGATGAAATAGTAGACTGTTTATATCAAATGTTACTAGTAATTCAAGAAACTTTACTCAAAAGTCATAGATTTCATGTGAAAGTCACTTACAAAAAATTTCTATTAACCCTGTTCAAACTACCAATATTAATCACAATTACAACTTTTATTCCTGCCATCTTTACTCACAGAAGATTATTCCTGGTGATCCCTTTCCAAATAAAAATAAACCAATAAATTCAGCAATGCTGGAAGGGAAGGAGCAGGACACTAAGGTAAATCATTCTGTCCTATAACCATTTGATACTCTAACAGTATTTCGTTATTGAAGAAGTTTCTCACTATAAATAAGCAAAGATGTAATATCTGGTGTGATGATGATCATTCATCCAAGATTGAAGTAACTCCAATACTAAACAGACAGTGAAAGTAGCAAATAGATATATTCTAAGCCTTTTTTATATCATTAACTCATTAACAACAGTGAGATAGTTACTACCTATTTTTACATATGGAAGATGAGGCATCCAGAGATTAAATGACTTGTCACAGTTTTGGGAAGCAGTGAAGAGAGACTAAGGTGAGGGGTAGAACAATATTAAATCTGTAATCTTACAAGTTTACACAATTCTCTTTTAAGAGTGATCTAAAGGGCGGCTGGGGATGTAGCTCAGTGGTTGAGTGCCTAGTATGCACAAGGTTCTGGGTTTAATCCCCAGCACAAAAGAAGAAAAAGAGTTATTTAGGCCTCCCTTTGTTGAATACAGTAACTGACACATTACAGGTGCTTAAAAAAATTTTTTTTTGCTTAAAGAGGACTAGGTTTGTTTTCTGTTTTGTCATGGGGAGGGAGGCTGCACTTGTTAGGTAAGCACTTTACTACTCTGCTAGTAGGTAAACTACACTCCCACACTTGAAATAGTTTTAATACTGATACATACCATCAAAGTGTCTAAGTCTTCATAAAAAGAGGAATCTGAACAGAACAATCAAGGCACCAGTGGAACTTTCAAATTTTACAACACCGCACATAACTAAAGCGATGAAAGAAGGAGGGAAAGCTCACCAGACTGTTCTAAAGATGGATAATAAACAGACCCACAAAGTTTAAACATGGGATTCTCCATGCAGTTGTGGAAAGAGGGCTGAAGTGGACAGTAGTCATATATGTCACCTCATACCTATTGACCCCCCCCAACTTCAAAGCGTCCATGGCCTTCTCCTCCTCTCAGTGGCTGCGACGGGGCCCCTGTGCTGGAACAAGAATCCAGCTTCCCAAACTCCCAACCTGGGCTCCTTGACGCAACGGCTTCCCTGTCGAGGCCACTCTGCCAACAGAAGGCAGAAAGCTCTATCAGATACCAGAGAGGCGGCTGAGGAGCCTCTAGTAAAAAAAATATTCTGCCGCACCGAGGCCCACTCAGTCTGCCCAACGGCGCTCGGGTTTCCCCCCAGCACTGGACGGTTGGTCGGTCCTTCCTGGGTGAACCCAGGTCCAAACTGCACCGAACCCCATCAATGCTCACATGGCATGGCTACCCAGCCCACTCTCTTTCAGCCCAGCCGGCACCTCCCACAGGGCCAGCAGCACTACCTTCCGACGCCCTGGGGCCGCTCAAGAAAGAGACTACCATTCTTGAGTGCCTGTCACAGGCCACACTAAAGGTTTGCACACACCCCCAGTAGGCAACAGCTTACAAATGTAACAAATGGAGGCTCCAGGTCATATTCATATAGAACATTTGGAATGTTACTAATTGATCACCAATAAAATCAGTGATAAATTCTATGGAAAATTTGCAAAAATATTAAAATATTTTCAGAAAAATACATAGAATGTATTAATGTATGAAAATTAACCAACCAAGTAAGTCTCATTGCACTTGTGTCATAGTTTGAGAGATATTTGGAAAACAATGATAAAAATTTATTATTTTCTCCTTTCGTTTCAAAAATCAATCACAATATTGTCTGTGGCTCAAGTCTATAATCTTAGCTACTTGGGAGGCAGAGATCAGGAGGATAGTGATTCAAGGCCAGCCAGGGCAAAAAGCAAGACCATATTTCAAAAATACCCAACATAAAAAAGGACTGGTGGAGTGGATCTAGTGGTAGAGTGCCTGCCTAACAAGCATGAGGCCCTGAGTTCAAACCCCAATACTGCAAAAAAAAAAAAAAAAGATTTGGGAGAGAAAAAATGTCAAAGGACATCTATAACACAATTACAGGCTATGTATTTGAAAGCCTTGAAATTTTTCAATCTGTAAATGCTCAGCTGGTCTTTCCTCTATTACAATACTGACTAATAACCTTTCTTTTGAACTCAGACACTTTTGTTACATGTAATTCATGTTCAAAGATGCTATACAATTTAAAACATAACAATCCTTTCCTGTTGGCCATGAACTGAGTAGTTTACCCCACATGCTCCTGCCACATAACCATGGGCCCAGATCAATGGAGCTGAGGACTATGAGCTGAAACCTC